CTGCTGATGGGCCTCCCCAGGTGGGAGCACATCAAGCCTGGGTTGAAGGCGCTGCACTGGCTGCCTATAGCGTACCGAGTCCGCTTCAAAGTGCTGGTGCTTACCTTTAAAGCCCTATATGGCCTGGGTCCGACCTACCTGAGGGACCGCCTTTCCCCATACATACCCCCAAGGGCACTTCGGTCGGGTACCCGGAACCAGTTAGTAGTTCCGGGCCCCCGAGAGGTGAAATATGCTGCAACAAGGGCCAGATCATTCTCAGTGGCGGCCCCTGCCTGGTGGAATGAGCTCCCGGAGGAGATCAGGGCCCTGCGGGACCTTATGCAGTTCCGCAGGGCCTGCAAGACGGAGCTCTTCCACCAGGCTTTCACGTAGGGGCCGCCACTGCTGTTGCCACCACTACCATCAACGGTGGTAAGAACATCGAAGCTGAGAGTGCCCTTAAACGTAGCGCTACTAGAATGCTGCAATGTGTACTGCGGGCGGGCTCGGACCATTTTTGGATGATGATGCCACCATTTTTTAACAACTTAAGACCGCCTGATAAAATGAAGCACTTTACTATTTATTATTGATTGTAATGTTATTGGATTTTATTCGATTTTATGTGATTTTATGTTCGGGCTATGCCCCTTGTAAGCCGCCCTGAGCCCGCTTGCGGGGAGGGCGGGGTAAAAATACTTAAATAAATAAATAAATAAATAAATCTGATGGCTGCTACGTGCTCTACTTCTGATGGCACAAATGCATGGGAGCTGCCTCTGCTTTCCCTGTAATGTTAGCACTAAAAGTGCTCCCCCCCCATCAGATAGGAACTAGCACAGGAGAACTCATTCCAACATCTCATCCCACCACTGTGCTTACTATGCTGGCCCCACATTGGCAGCGTAACAAAACAGGGGAAAGGGGGCTACTGTGGGCTCAACACCAGCATGGAATGCAGGTGGCAATTTGCTTGGGTATTCATGCCACACCTGAAAAGTGCTTTGCACAGAATATCCTGATGAGGAGTCCCTGTCTTTCTCCAGAAGATTTCAATCCAGCAGTCTTCACTCACTGTTTGACATTGTGGTTTCATTTTATTGCATGTCCAAGTGAAACTTTAACTGTTGTAATAGAACAGTTTCCAAGAAACTCTGATTACAAGAGAGCTGGAACAATTAGTAGCAGTCTTTTACAATGCATTAGCATTCCCATTCAGGAGCCTCAAAGAAATTCTTCTATCATGTATATTGTGAAGCTTGCTAATGTTACCATCCTCTTACAACACTCCACAACTATGGGAAAACCTTGACATGATGAGGGACTGTTTAATGTGATCAGTGCAGCCAGGCAGGTGCTTTAAAGCTATGAGCTCTAATCAGAATTGTCTGCTGTACCACTCTCTGTATGCCAAGACTGATTATTTTTCACAGGTTGAAGACAGCTGATAAATCATCTCATGAGGACTTTAAGAACAGAAGTGAATTATTTATTTTTACTGGGCTGCTTAGGGAAGTCCATAGGATGCTAGAATCACTATATTCTAGGAGAGAGACTGTAGTGAGGACACTTAAAAGGTTCAGCTGAGGTACAAGGTAGGCACTTGGGTTTTGGCCACTGTGTGACACAGACCGTTGGACTGGATGGACCACTGGCCTGATCCAACATGGCTTCTCTTATGTTCTTATGTTCTTAAGTGTATTAGCAGATATGTATGCTATCCAGATTACTTAGAAATATTTATGGTCGCTGTGTAATTCTACCAATATTCAGGTGAATAGCCTGAGGCAGGCCACACCTTCACACGTCATCTATTTTGCCAATTACAACAAAGTCACTTTCCAAGTCTTCTAATCCCAGGATTTCTCTAGAATCTTCTGCTCTGACCCATACAGCAACAAAAGGGTAGCACTGTTCAACCTTGGACATGTAATAGTAGCACCTTGAATTAACCAATCTACTGAGTGTCGCAGCAAATTTTTAGGCCCTTTTGAGACCCACAACACTTCAGATGTTATAATTCTCAACAAAATTATCCTTCACCATGTGAACTATGCACCACAACAGGGCCAGTAATACCTTTTCTTCTAGGGCTGCCATCCGCTCTTTCAGGTGAAGCTGCAGGCGCTCATTGGACTCACTTAGCAGTCTATCCACAGTGTCAGACAACCGCTTGTTATGCTCCTCATTCATCTTCTCCCTCTGACGGGCCTGTGGGGAAAATCATGATCAGTCAAGCAACCCCCAAGAAAATTTGCCTGAAGACTGCTGTAAAAATAGCTCTAATCATTAAAGAAACCCAGAAATTATCCTTCGCTGCACCCAGCCCATCTTGACACAGAAATGTCTTCGCAACTAGCCAACCATGCTTTGACCCCCTCATCTGCTGTGAGTGTCAAAAGAGTCAAGAATGTATGCTCTAAGCTGTCAGTGGAACAGTTGCATCAGTTTATACTAGCAGAGAGATTGATCCCTGTGAATATTAATTTTGCTGTAAATTAGAGGTGAATTGCACCATTCTTCTGAGCATAAGTTTATTCTAGAATACAAGAATGACAAACTGGCAACTATTTCCCCAGTACAAAACTACTAATTTAAACTGCTATTGTTATTGTATTGTATTGCTGAAATATCAGTACAAGAAAAGAGGAACAGACTGATTAGTAAACAGATGTTGTGAGGCAGGGAAAGGGTTCTAAATGGTGGCAACTTAGAAAAGGACTGTCACATGAATGCACCATGTGATTTTGTGTGTGTGAAGTAGCCTTTTTGAGTGATTGGTTGCCCCAATTTTAAGCTGTCAAACCACATCCCTTAAAAACTGGGATATAACTATATGGTTTAAGACCAGAGGCAAACATGTGGGAGGCTACTGTAAGGGATGTGTTAGAGCTAAAACCCTGTATGGAAGTTAACCTACCCTTGCCAGTTCTTGGTTCTTCTCTTCCAACTGAGTCTCCAGCTGCCGTAGTCGCTCTTCAATACTGCCATGCCTTTCTTCTGCCTGCGCAAAACAAGACAGTCTCCAAGGAGGCAGCAGTGCCTACCAACTCTGGGGATATCACTTAACATGCTCTACTATAAATCCATGGTGGATTTATGGGAAATCTGGGTCAGTGGCAAACAAATAAAAATGAAGGGTGAACAAAATCTTTCAAGCTTTGCACTAGACTTCAGGTACAAAGAATAGACTGGGGACTCTTGCTAAACTCAAATCTAAAATAATATTTCACTAAACAAAGGTTGAAGAAGGGTAGCGGGCCTCTGAATCTTGCTATACTGCTTCTTTATGATCCTTGGTAATCCTTGTAGTACCTACACAGAGGAGCTTACAAGCACTTCTCACATTCTCTGCCCTAAGCTCAATTCTTAAACACGCTTACCACAGCATAATCAGGTTAAATGGCCCTCCGTTTCTTATTTCAAGTTTGTTCAACTGAAAACAACTTTGATAAAGAAGTCTCCATTTCCTCCAACTTCCTCTTCATCTCAGGGGAAATCTGCTTCCTGTACCTTTTGCTGGCAGCTCCTGGTTGTGCACTTGCCTTAGTGAGTGCTGCTATCCTTTGGGCCAGCTCAGCCTCCACCTCTGGAAGTGTCTCTGCTTTCCGCATCGTCTGCTGCAGCTTCTGTTCTGCCAATTCTAGAAGCTCCTGAAGGTGCCGTGCCTTCTCCTCACACTGCAGATCAATGCAGGATGGCAGCAATGAGCACAGGGATGTGGAAACATTAAAAATACCACAGCACTACATCCATACACTCTACTGCAACTCTTCCTTGAAGGAAGAGTGCTTGGTTCTGTGGCTGCACATGCCTTAGACTCTGTCCAAAAGTTGTGCACCAAACAAAATGTTAGTCTGCGACAGCAAGTTCCCATACCTGCATTACAGTACTTAATTTTGTCCAGCTCTTAGTATTAACAGATAAGAGTAGTCTGGGCCTGTGGTCTCCACAATACCAAGATCAATACTATGAAGAGACAGACTGGCCCAATTTCCCAGTTTGGAGGGACCCCCTTTTGGATGAGAAGAATGGCCAAGCAGAATATTCTGCAGAGGAGGAAAATGGGCATTGAAAGATAGGTCTCATCACCCGTGTACCTCTCTGCCTGACTGCTACTAGCATTTCAGGTGCCATGGCACCAAAGCCAGTTACCTGGCGATGAAGAGAGTCTTTATTAGCAAGCTCATTCTCTAGTTTGTCATTGAGATCGTGAATAGATGTGGCTTCTCTCTGAGCTGCCAGATAGCGCTTCTCCAGGGTGGTGATCCTCTCCTCCATATCGTCTTTCTGTGCCAAAGCCTGGGGGTAAAAGGCATGAAGAAAATCACTCACTTTTGTTTATTACGCAGACATAGCTCTCTCCCTGAATTATAGCATGGATGGGAAATCCCTGGTCTGCTCCAAGCCAGATCCCGCACTGAATATTTCAGATAAATACTGATTTTATTGATGGATAACTCAACCCACTGCTGCAATTGCAACAGTTGCCTGCTGCAGCCAGAAGCTCAGAGGGCTACTCTGTCTTTGCAACCGCTGGGGAAACTAGTAGGTTTTTAAATGGATCCAGGGTTTCTGTGACATGATTTCTGCTGTTTGAGTTCTCTAACCTCGCGTAAGTCCCTCTGGTACTTGCTGCTCATTTCCTCTGATTTGATTAGGTCCCTCCTGGCGGTGCTCAGATCTTCTTCCAGTTCAGCAACAGAGGCAGATTTGCTTCTCCAGAAGTTCCTGCAGTTCCACAGACCGACTAGCCTCATCCTCTGGGTGTATAGAGCCATTAGGAAGTCTCTGTAAAGACACAACAAAAGAGCTCAGTCTCCAGTGGGATACACAACACACACTGCAACTCACAGTAACAGGGTACTGGAAAAAAATTCACCTCTAGAAATCATCTCCTCACCTGCCAATATATCAGCACTGGATACTATAAATTCTTCTTTCATCTAGTGAGCTGGACATTCATAGCATGACAGCACTCACCTTCCAAAGAATCTTCTGACCAGGTTCTTTTCCCTCAGTCCTTTTGTCATCTTCTCCCACAGGGGCTTCTCTCTGAGAGGGACCTTGCTGCAGAACACTTATCTGCAAAATATATCTTCAATATACTTGGGAAAGGATATAGTTTTCATACAAGAAAACAAGAAAAAGAAACGGACAGCTACTTGCCTAGTCAGTCTTCTGCCACTCCAACCAAAATCTTTACAGTTTCTACTACTTCTCTCTTATCTGATATTAAGAGACCCCTCACTGCATATTACACCAAAGAAAGTTTATTACAGTCTGGATTTTGAATTATCCAAAGTGAGTCAATGAGCCTGGCATAGCAGGATAGGGAAGTAGGCACTCTAATAGGTGACTAGAGCCCTTTTAGGTAAGAGGGGTTTGGAATGTATGACATACCAGGCTTCCTATACAGTGAACAGAAAAAGGTAGTTTTGTTCTGAAAGGATGCCGGGGGGTGGTGGTATCTGGACACAAGATAATGCCAGTTTCAACAATTCACCTCACAAAGTAAACAAAGAATATTAAATTTATTTATACCTCAATTTTTTTCCTTGGAACCCAAGATATTATATATAGGGTTTACAGGCGGTCCCTCTCATCTAGCCACTGCCTAGACCATGCTCAGCAGCACCACACTGCTGCATTATGTGCCTTCAGTCCATAACCTGGGACTACATAAATTGTGTGCTTGACTGGGGACCCTCCTACTTTAAATAAGAAGGGAGCTCCACCTTCACCAGGCCACTCCCATTGTGACCACTGCAGCAAGAGGGGGAGTGGGACAAGGGTGTGTAGGCTTGGGCTGACTACCATTGCCAGGCACCTCACCAACTTATCCCACCTGAGCTCTGGTTGGACACTTATGGAGGGTGGCCATTTAAAGCAGAGTCATTCAGGCAGCCTATCTATAGCAAGGCTAGCACCTATTCTATCAGAGCTATCAGTATTGGCTGGGACTGGTGTATAACGGGCAATTTACAGCCAAAGTCATGAAAGCAATTTGGACTTTGCAGCTACACTGTTGCCTACTGGGCAGGACTCCTTGCAAGGAATTCTGGAAAAGGGATCCAGCTCAGCCTCTTGGAGACCCTACAGTTTATATGGCTAAGCCATCTAGGAATGCAATGAGCAGATTTATTTCCCATGTTCAATAAGCCAGCAGATATACCTGATTCCATCATGATCCAGTTGGAAGAAAAGAAAAGCATTGGTGAAAGGAAAGGCATTAGCTTTTCTGGACCATACACAATGACATAGCAGTGTCTAAGGTATTTCTCAGGTCGGCTGCAGTATCTTTACAGCCTGCTTTTGCCCCAGGTGGAAAAAGCAAAGGTCTAAGGGGAGGAGACTACCATTCCAAGACATATCTTCTATCAGGACAGGAGTACTGCTTGGGCAGGGAACTGTCTCTGGTTACAGTAGTCCAGTCAGAATCATGTACAGTAGTCCAGTCAGAATCAACAACAGGAACCAGTTTTTGAAAAAGCAAGGCTGGATTCAAAAGTATACCAGAATCTTTACACAACTAGATAGAGTCGTTTTATCCCATCCAGATTTGGTATATCAATCCCAACAAGCACACTTGCCTTTGCGAACAACACCACTTCTAACTTATCTGGATTCAATTTCAGATTATTTACCTTCATTCACCTAATCATGGTCCCCAGACACTGATTCATAGTCAGAAATGACTGTATCTGGAGATTTGGTCCCCTCTAAACTTGTGCCCAATTTTACATTTGTATTAGGACACATTTTTACACAATACACAGAGATTTAAATAATAAAATATCATAATAGACTTCTTTGGGTTCCCATATCATTAGGTTTAAATCCTGCCTTTCTTCTGCGAGTCTTAACATAGCATACCTAGGATTCCTAAGCAGTCTCTCATCAAGCACTGACCAGACCTAGACCTGCTTAGCTTCAGCATGGTTGCTAAATCATATAAGTTCAGTCACTACAACCCAGAAGTTACTTCACAAAAACTGTGGCCTGTACTCAACCATCCATGTGGTGACAACAGTGACTCACACGTCATTCAAAACAGCTCATACTACTTCATGCTACAATATGAAGCAGACAACAGGATGTAGTCTTGCTGCATTCACGTATTTTTTAAAAAGAATCTGCGAAATTCACACTGGAATTTGAAACCCCATATTTACCTGCTGGTGGGCACCTGACAACTGTTCTTCTAGTGTAGCTACTCGCTCTAGCGCTGCCCGCAAGCGCTCTCTCACCTGAAAGCAAGAAGGTGAAAGAATACTCAAAGGCAAATCAGAGGCACAGACCTCAGAGACATTTGTAGCTACTTATAGGTCTAAAGTACCACACATTACAATGTCTAGGATCAAGGAGCTCACTTCACAGATTATTTATTTATTTATTTTTGGATTTATATCCCACCCTCCCCGAAGGCTCAGGGCGGCTAACAACGAGGCACAAGTGCCAAGAGTTAAAACAGATAAAACAGCCTAAAACAATATAATACAACAAAGTATCAGTGCTCCATTTATCGCAAGATGGGGTAGATCTTAATCCAATGGCAATTGGTCCCGCAACCTATCATCCCCTCTCCTTCCAGGGTCACCTCGCACCCAGATGGAACCACATATTAGTGGTAGTGGTGAGATGCTGCATACATATCGGTGGTGGAATTGTAGTGGTGGCGGCTCCTACTCGAAAGCCTGGCAGAAGAGTTCCATCTTACAGGCCCTGCGGAACTGAGAAAGGTCCCGCAGGGCCCGGATCTCCTCCGGGAGCTCCTTCCACCAGGTAGGAGTCGCCACCGAAAATGCCCTGGCTCTAGTAACAGCAAATTTAATATCCCTGGAGCCTGGAATTTCCAGGAGATGTTGACTCCCCAACCGTAGTGCCCTTGGGGGAACATATGGGGAAAGGCGGTCCCTTAGGTAAGCCGGACCCTGGCCATACAGGGCTTTAAAGGTAAGAACCAGCACTTTGAAGCGGATCCAGTACGCTATTGGTAGCCAGTGCAGCGCTTTCAGCACAGGCCCAATGTGATCCCTCCTAGAGAGACCCATCAATGCTGAACCAGTTTAAGATAGTAAAATGCCGATCTGGCAGTGGCTGCCACCTGGGCCTCCATAGTTAAGGAGGGATCCAGGAGCACTCCCAAACTCCTAACCTCCAGGTGTCCCATCGAAGGTCGGGAGAGGGATCCCCAACCCCATACCAACACAACTCAGGCACAGGACTTCCATCTTCGCTCGGTTTAATTTCAGCTGGCTCAGCCAGAGCCACCCAGCCATTGCCTGTAATGCCCGGTTCAGATCTTCTAAGTCAGAGCCAGACCAGCCGCCTAACATCAGATAGAGTTGGGTGTCATCTGCATATTGATGACACCCAAGCCCACAACTCCGGGCAATCTGGGCAAGGGGGCGCATGTAGATGTTAAACAACATCGGGGACAGCACAGCCACCTGTGGCACCCCACATTCAAGGGGATGTCTCCGGGATCACTGGTCCCCTATCGCCACCCTTTGTCCCCGACCTTGGAGAAAAGAGGCAAACCATTGAAGGGCAAGCCCCTGAATCCCCACGTCAGCGAGGTGGTGGGTCAGCAACTGGTGGTCAACCATGTCAAATGCAGCCGACAGATCTAAGAACAACAGTGCTGCCACACCACCCCGATCCAAATGCCTACGGAGGTCGTCAGTCAGGGCGACCAGCACCGTCTCTGTCCCTTGACCCGGGCAGAAGCCGGACTGGAAGGGATTGAGGACAGAAGTATCATCCAGAAAGCCCTGTAGCTGTAACGCCACTGCTCTCTCAATAAGTTTGCCCAAGTAGGGCAAATTGGACACCGGCCAATAGTTGGCCAATTCGGCTGGGTCCAAAGATGGCTTTTTCAAGAGAGGGCGGACCATCGCTTCCTTGAGTGCCTCAGGGAACCGTACCTCCAAGAGGGACGTGTTGATAATCTCCCGCAGGACACCTCGAAATCCCTCATAACACGCTTTTATGAGCCAGGAGGGGCACGGATCAAGGTCGCATGTGGTTGGACGTACAGATACGAGCAATCTGTCAACTTCCTCCAGGCTGAGCAGGTCAAAACACTCTAAGCCCGGCACCAAAGGCATGCAAGGGGCCTCAAGTTCACTCACTGTTTCAATTGTGGCGGGGAGGTCACAACGGAGCGCTAAGACTTCGTCTGCAAAATAGCTCGCAAATGCCTCGCAGCCAATATCCAACTCCCTAACATTTTGCCTGCCCTGTGGCAAAGCTGTCAAAGACCGAATTATACTAAATAATTGGGCCGAACGTGAGCTAGCAGATACAATCAAGGTCGCATAGAAGTCTCTCTTTGTGGCTTTGACTGTCATTTCACAGGCTTTCATAAGTGTCCTTCTTGACGCCTCATCACGAGCTCGACGCCACCGTCTCTCTAGCCGTCTCAGTTCTCGCTTCAGCTCTCACAGCTCCTGGGTATACCAAGGTGCTCGCCTAACACGAGTGCAGAGAGGGTGCCTGGGAGCGAGCTCGTCGATGGCTGAGGAGAGCCAGACATGCCAGTCCTCTACCAGCTCATCCAACGAGCCGCCAGGGGGCCTCGGATCCCGCAGGGCCATATGGAATCGCATTGGATCCATTTGGCGCCACTAGTGAGCAAAAATCGGCTCGCCGCCTAAACAAGGTCGGGGTGGAACGTTCAGATGGGCGTTCAGGGCCAGGTGGTCTGCCCATGGCACTGCCTCTGCAATGATCCGGTCCACCATCACCCCCGCCGCGAAGATCAAATCGAGCATGTAACCAGCCCGATGCGTGGGAGCTGAGATGAATTTAGAGAGTCCCAGTGCCGCCATGGACGACACCAGGTCCGTAGCTCCGGACCCCGGCTGGAGGCCGCGTCCTCGGCATGGACGTTGAAATCACCCAAGACAATCAGCCTAGGGTGCTCCAACGCCCAGCCTGATACGGCCTCCAGCAGGGATGACAGGCTACTGGCTGGTGCATTAGGCAGTCGGTACACCAACCAAATTGCCAAACTCTCAACAGCCTCCAGCATCAGACCAATACACTCAACGCCCGCAATCTCCAGTGACGGAAGCGCCCTGAAGGAGTAAGCCTCCCGAATGAAGATAGCCACTCCTCCCCCCCACCCCCTAGTCCATGACTGGTGGAGGACCGAGAACCCGGGCGGGGCAAGCTGGGTGAGAGCTACCGTTGCACCCTCCCGCACCCAGGTCTCGGTCACGCACACCAGGTCAGCTCGTTGTTCCTGTACAAAATCCTGAAGGATTGTAGTTTTGTTGTTAATGGACCTGGCGTTGCACAGCACCAGTGATGGAGGGGGGTTCTCCATCCTGGCCCCACTGTCGGCCACCATTGGGATGGGCCGTAGGCTGGAAGGGCGCCGAGCCGCTCTGTTTCTCTGCATCCTTTCCTTGAAACCCCGCCTAGGCCCACCGCAAAACTTCCCCTGTCCCAAGCAATGTTCCCTCTAAGCTGTGGAGTCTTGTGAGCAAAAATTCTACTTTGTGAGCTACTGGCATGAAAGTTGTGAGCGAGCGATTTGGCTGCTGCATAAATCAGTTTGCTTTGGATCCATCCTTCCTGAGCTAAGACAGAAATGTGTGAACCGGAGGCTAAAAATCTGTGAGCTGGCTCACACTAACTCAGCTTAGAGGGAACTATGGTCCCAAGAGCATAGATGCTGACCAGACATTTGTTACACCGGTGGTCTCCGCGGTGCATCAGACTTAACCAATAGAGAGAATGACCAGAAGTAGCAAAGTCCACTCCTAAAACAACAGATTAAACACCATCTAACTCTACTACCACTGATTACAATCAAAGTGCTATTATGCAAAATACTAGGTTACCTGACCTAATAGGTCATACCAGGAAGTCCTGACTATCTAAATATTATAAATCCCTGAAATCACAATCCCCCAACCACTTTCATCATTCATACAGCACTCATCCACAATCCTACTTCAGCCTTGCCTCTATTCTCACTCCAAAACAGAAGGGTTCAAAAAAACTATACAACTTCAGAAGCCTAACTCTCAGCTAACTATGTAAGTAAACAAACACTACATAGGAGGCTTTGACTCTAACACTTTCCTTGGATTAAGCCCAATTGAATAGCCCTGTGTAGACATGCTTAGAATTGCTCTCCTAATAAGGCAGAATTAGCACAGAACTAGTGCATGTAGTTATTCTTCTTAGGACATTTTTGACAAAATGCAGCCTATTCCCCCCTAAAAATTATTCTGTAAGTGAGCTCGCTTTGCGGGGAGGGTGGGGTAAAAATCCCAATAATAAAAAAAAAATTAAAATTCTCCAGTGGAGATAAAGACACTTTGGGGTAGAAATTTACAGCAGGAACATGGCATTCAAAGTATTAAAAAGCCCCTCTTCCCTCAGACCAGTTAATCCTTCAAAGATTTTGCAGTTTGTTTTTTTAAATCCTTTTAAAACATTAGATTGCATATAATCTATAGTTTTGCCCCTGACATTAGTTACCATGGAAGGCTTGTAAACCTGGTATCCTAAAATAACCCACATCCTACATATCAGGGCAAGGAAAAAGAAGAAGGGTTACCGGAAGCAAAGGGGACAGTAACTTTTGCCCATATGGTAAAAACCTGGAGAAGTATGTTTCAGTTCACAGGCCAGGAAGATGAACTTCAAGCAAGCATGAGCTCTATCCAGGCAGCAGGTTCCCAGGATATATTTTTAATCTCTTTGCAAAGCTTAAGGCCTGAGCTCAGGAGATCACTCATAAAGGAAACTGGAAGGTTGGTGAGAGAGCTGCAGGAACATGCTGACTAAAGTCCTCAGCTTTGACTTTGTTTTGTGATTAGCTAGTTTGCTGAAACAGCACTCACCATAAAAAACAGTAGTTAACTCAAGCCTTACCTTCTCATCCAAAGCTTTATGGTGTTCAAACAAAGATTTCAGTGCTTTTAAAACTTCAACTTCACTGGAAACACCAGATGGAGACTGAGCCTGCCGCTTCACCACAGTCATCCTCAAAGAACGTTCATGCCTTGAGACCAGGCATTCCAAGTGCTCTAACAGAAGCTGCAAGATGGGGTATATCATCAATTACTCTGTATTCAAAGTCAACACGATAGAAAATGGGCTCTCAATGTCCTGTTACTTCACTAAGATTATCAGGTTTTTATCACCAAACTATTTCCATCCTCAGAGGTGAAAAGCACCATGTATTACTTGCCTAACAGCATACTATAGTTGCCAAACACAGGGTGTCTTCAACTTCAAAACCCAATGACTTAGGAACATGGAATTATATATATAATTACAGGAGGCCTGGAGGACACAACATAGAGCCTGTGGGCTGCATACAGCCTGGTGGACCCATGTCTGGGTAGGAGCTGGTGTACTGACCACCTACCCTGGAAGCTCACCATGTCCCAGCAGGGATGCAGGGAGCGGGTTTGTCAGAGGGGGAGGGATCAGAATGCCCACTCACAGCTGAAAGTTGTTTTCTGACACCCTACCCTGCTTGGCAAGTTTCTCATCATCCCTCCCACAGGGCAAAGACGTTCCAACCACAAGGTGTCACTACTAAAAGAAAAAGCTATATCTCTGGTCACCACCCACCTAACTCTGCAAGCCAGGAGGTCAGAGAACAGGACTTGGGGAGGGGGTCTTAATTGACAGAATGGCCAGCATGGGAGGAGGTACTGCTTTAAGTACCCAGGCTCCAAACTGTTTAGAGCCTTAAAAGGTAAGAAACAGCACTCTGACTTGTGCCTAGAAACCAAAGGGAAGCCCATACAGATCTATCAGAACATGGGCGACATAATCTTATTGATTAAAAGTAACCACCTACCTGTTTGAATTGTGTAGCTCTGTGACAGATTATTATTTCTCTCAGTGTTGCATGTACTGAGTTGCTGAAACTAGTATATTCTACATGTCTGCAACTTACTATTATTCACTTTCAAAAATATAATCAGTGATGTTCAGATTTGCACCAAAGAATGATGGAATAAAATGGAATGGAGTAGACAAAATTGGACAAGAACAGGGGTCAGAAACAGTAAGGGATCAGGGTCCTCTCTAGCGAGTGCTTTATATGTTTAACAACTCAGAGCCATCACAAAGACACTCAGAATCTTCAACTCATGTTCTACTGTATTTTGAGGGCAACCTACTTAAAAAAGCATTAGTGCAGCAATGCAAAAACAAAACCTGAGATGCAGCATTAGGTCCAAATGTAAGTGCCAAATTCTAGAGGTGCCTTCAAAACAAATGCCCGAGAAGATGCCCATTTGCATTTGTACACTGCTAACGGGGATGCTCTGACCTGGATGGCCAGGGCTCACCTGATCTCATCAGATCTTGGAAGCTAAGCAAAGTCAGCCCTAGTTGGTATTTGGATGGGAGACCACAAAAGAATTTCAGGGTCATTATGCAATGGCAAGTCACCTCTGTTACTCTCTTGCCCTACAAACCCTATGGGAGCTGCCATAAGTCAGTTGTGACTTAATGACACTTTATACACATACAATGGGGATGCTAAAGACAAAGGCTTCTCAGCAAATTTAGAGCTCCAGAGTAAATACTCTTGTGATGTGGAGACGAACTGCTTTTACAAGCATGAAAACAAGCTATACTGTAATAAGAATGAAAGACAACAGCAATGTTCTATAGAAATTAAATTGGATTTTACAGAGATTATGCTAAGCCCTAAACATTCAATCAAGAATACCAGTCTCCTATCAAACACTGACTGGGTAGGAAATTCAACAGAAAGCTTTATATTCTGTTAAACCTTATTGAGATGAAAGACTGCAAGTCTTCCATAGATTAATCAGGGAGACCAACCATACTTCAGACTAGATCTTTTACTCCCTATGACAGAAGGGGGGGTTCCTCTAGATCAGGCTGTCAGCAGGTCAGGAGGACTTCAGAACCAAAAGAGAATCTTGACTCACCCTTGTGTTATTGCGCTCTGCCTTCAGCTCTGAGATCTCTTCTTCTCTTTCCAGGAGCTGTTCTCGACATGCATTAAGTTCCCTGGTCAATGTTGCAAATTCCTGCAAAGTAATCATACTTCTACAGTCAGAAAGTACCTGTAGGCAGGTTTTCCTTTAACTTGGGCAAAACACTTACCAGCTTGAGCATCATATTTCCAAACCTTTAGTGTTACAAAGATCAAACAGGCACTACAGGACAAAGCTGTAGCTGTAATGCATTCCCGAAGAGGATCAAAACACATGCTGCTTGACAAAGATGGACTATTATACAGGAGCATAATTATGAATCCGAATAACGGTGCCAGGTAAATAAGGAAATACACTCCCTCTTCAGCAGATGGAAAAGAAACACTACTTTTTATTCTGAGATTCCTCAATGGGTTTTGGGGAACACTACAGAGGACACTATTTTCTAGCTAATTATTTCAATTCATAATGAATTAGCATTAAAACTGATTGGTCAATCTAGTGGTTTCTTATCCTAGTGGTTTTCTATCCTAAACACAATGCTCAAGTCAAAGCGCACAGTAATATTGCCATCCCAGCACATATCCAGAAGGAACTACTGGTTCCACCAGAACTCTTCCCTGGGTGGCAGTTCTTCACCTGCTGCCCTTTGTATCAGTTAAAGTAACCACAGAAATGGGAGTTGGAGCATTTCATTCCAAACACTTAAGGCAGTTATACGCCAGTAGTCAAGTGTACCAACTCAATAAAACAGCTTGAGGCTCACATGCCAGCTGCTACTGCCATCCATGTATTGCAGTGTAGATAAATGTTTAGCAATATAGGTGTCTGCTTTTCTAGTAGTAGTTTCATATGTACTCTAAAACAGAGGATGATACAGATATTTGTTCATGTGTTAAGATGTGCTTTTGTTCTGGAGTATTTCTCAAGTAATTTCAACATCCAAAACATTAGAATCTTTTAGTGCTTGCATTATCATTTAAATTGACTCCCCCCCAAATAATACATCCCTGAGACTTCAGCATCACTTTTGAGCCCCATTTGGTTAGCTCAGCTACAGATCTGACAATTTAATGGAGAGCGTACTATACTGACAGAATTTCCAGTCTGAATTAATCATCTAATCCCAATAATATATATCCCATAAACAAATAATTTGGCTAATCTTCACAGATTACTGATAAATCACATACACATTCCCATCCCAGTTGCTTGGTGATGCTATAAAAAGTATGAGAGAGAATAATCAACACTAGCCACTAGTCCAGTATTTTTAAAGGTAGATCTCTATAACAGCAATCACATCCTACATGATAATGTGGACGTCTGATGTATCATGAGCCTTCCATTAATTGCAGCTTGACTGTAGTTTCATCTTTTAGATTCTCCAAATTAGCTTCTCTCTCTCTCTTTCTTGAATAAAAACTCTTTACATTTTGAGCTTTTGAGATAATTCCACAATGTGTTGGCAGCTTCATGTTCACTCTATAAAACTAAGGGAGAAGAATGAGAGGAGGTAAAATCCTTTTCCTTATCCCAAGCATGCTGATTACAGTCAAAAGGAGAATTATTGGCTGGTTTAGAGCAGCCTATCTAAATAATTAAAATCTCTAGATTGTGGTAAAAGAACTAGTAAAGGGGGGTCCACAGTCTAAGAGACTGGTGTGCCCATGTAAACCCAGATGTTTCAGAGAAACCATTAACACCATGAACCTTCTGTTAGTGCAGCAGTGGAAGACTGTTGCACCAGTGTCATGAATTACAAAACGTCTATAGCAAGATGGGTAACCGTGTTAGTCTGTCTGTAGCACTAAAAAAGAGCAAGAGTCCAGTAGCTCCTTAAGGACTAACGAAATATGAGACAGGGTATGAGCTTTCATGAGCCACTGCTCACTTCTTCAGATACCTACAACAGGACGAAGTCAGACACTTGCCTGCTACAATGTTCTTGATTAAATTTCCTCACCTTTACCTGCCTGTCATGCCTAACATCTAGTTGATCTGGTCTCTAGTAGACATTATTAACAAAAGCTTGTGTCCTATAGTCTGTTTCCAATAACAAAAGGCCATTTCCATCAGTGGGGGAGAAAGGGGGAGAATTTCCTGCTGAATTTCCAATGCAGACTCCTATTTTGCCTTTTATGTTGCTTATGATGATCTCCTAAAACCTAAGAACAAAAATGTGCAAAAAAGCAAGGTGGGAAAAGGCCCACTCTATAAGTTCTGCTTGTAGTATACAAACCAGAATTTTATGCTTTAAATTATTACCTGTCCTTTGAGTAGGGTTACCAAGTACCTACCGCAAATCGGCGGTGGACACATGCTTTCCCGCCAGAACATTCCTGCCTGTAACACACCCGCATCGCACTATGCTGTCGCCCAGACATGACGTCAGCACACTGGGCACGTAGCCGGGCGGTGCTCTGGCAATGGGGCTGAAAACTCGACGGTACCATCGAGTTTTCAGCCCCATTGCTAGAGCGTCGCCCAGCTACGTGCCTACATCACGTCAGGGCAACAGTATAGCGCAGCGTGTGTGTTTTCCCCACGGGAATGTTCCCACCAAGAACTATGTGTCCCCCGCCGATTCGCGGTAGGTACTTGGTAACCCTACCTTTGAGATAGGGCAGACTACACATTTGAAAGAATAAAAGTAACAGCTATAGCCTCCCCAGCCAAAGAGCAATTTCAAAAGTGTCCTTCAAAACATTCTTCACAATTATCATGAACTACTGCTTTGCTCTCAAAGACGTTCTTCAATTGCTGGCTTTTCCCTTTGTATAAGAAGAGGGAAATGCTTCCATAACATATTGTACCAGAGCTATAGAACCTCTATTCATTGCCTGGCAATGTTTAGGTTAATACACCAAAGAGGGGAGAAAGAAAGAGAGAAGTGCTGTCTGTTGAGGCAACTAAGGAGGTTGAAATGGTGGCAGGAACTTCCCAGCCAGCCAGCATCTCTCGTTTCTTCTTCTATAAACCAGAGATCTTATAAAAATAAATGCCAATTGGAAAATTTGTAACAGCTGTAGGGATTAGCTCTGAAAGGGCAGGGATGAACCAAGCAGAGTTCAAAGAAAGAAACCAAAATAGGAACTGTGCCGAGAGCCCACCCACGTGAAACACTTGATGAAGATTCTTCCGCAGCCAATACTGAACTGTGATTTTATCACTGGCACAGCATTTGAAATAGCTCAAAGGGAACTGAGTAGGCCTGTCTCTAGGATCCTTTAGTTTCAGAATACAAACAAAGGAACAGCATTTACCTAGTCAAATCATATTATATCTGTTTGGGAGCCTGGCATACAAATCAAGCTACTGTAATAAGAGAAAAGAATTGCTCTTGTCTGTGACACTCGGGCATAGCCTATGTGCATGAATATGAGATGTACAGATTTCAGGCAAGTTTACAGGATAAAGTAAATCTCTTATCTACTTGGATCTACATAGAATTCAGCAGAAATAATATTAATTTTAATATTCCAGCTCTGAATAGAAGAAACTACCCAAAACATATGAAAAAGCCAGCTCCTAATATCCCATCAGTTTAAAATGATGAAGAAACAGAACCTAGGACTGGGCTATATAGATTCAAGTGGCTGAGGCATACAGGTAGAGTATGGCTTTATTCATAGTGGCTGAAGAGCAGATCTAGTCCCAGAGCAATGGAATCTTGAATGCTTCATGTACTTTGTCCTGTGAAAGTGAAAGGTGAAAGCCTGACACTGATGAAAAGTTCTGGTGGGCTCAAATGTTTGTACAATGTTTTGTGTAAACTTGGTTGGTCAGAATAAAAGGTATTACATGGGTTTTGGTCTTGTTTTTGAACTCTGTATGGACTCAAGTGATAAGATGCTGAACTGCAGGCTGTGGAAGGTCAGTAGTTCAGCAGTTCGAGACCCGGGTGCCGCATGATGGAGTGAGCTCCCATCTCTAGTTCCAGCTCCTGCCAACCTAGCAGTTCGAAAGCAAGAAATTGCAAGTAGATAAATAGGTACCACTTCGGTGGGAAGGTAACAGCGTTCCGTGTGCCTTGGTGTTTAGTCATGTCGGCCACATGACCACGGAAACGTCTTCGGACAGCGCTGGCTCTTCGGCTTTGAAACAGAGATGAGCACCGCAACCCTAGAGTCGGATTCGACTGGCTTTCGAGCAAGGGAACCTTTACCTTTTATGGACCAATATGACTTACAACTTTTTAATAGAGTGGTACAGCCTACACCAGATAAACTGTGCCTCTCATAGGATAATTGCAATATGAAAAGCCCGCCTTCCACATCAGCTCATAATGATGGGGATTTTGCTACTGAATTATTCACACATACACACACACACGTGGTCAAGACGGGTAGGGCTACACAGATAGACACTTGGGACTATGTAGATAAAAACAAACTGAATTCTCAGTTCTAGGGTCACCTGGTCCAGGGGGGCAGATTTAGCTCTTGACCCACTAGTGGGTTTTTCCCTCCATTTACAGTTGCTACCAACAATGCACTGCCCAGCCCTGACAGATATCCTGCACCAGGAATAAAAGGCACTATGACTGAACCTCTTTGATTTACAGAGCAGCTGGTGTTCATGAAGCGGGGAATCTTGTGACAAGTAGGACTAAACACAAGCTCAAACACATTTTTGTGACTAGTCTGTAGGAATGATGATAGCAAAGCATCAATACTTTATTTATAGTCTTGCTTTCTCACTGAGACACAAGCACTGACCATTACTTTCAAAACTCTAAATGGTCCAGGGTATTTTAAAAAACTGGTTGGTCCCACATGAACTTGCCTGGCAACCTCAATCATCTTTTGAAGCAAGGCAGGTCCTGAGGACTATATGTAAGAGTAAATTAAAATTAAATAAAAAGTTTGCCTGCATATGTGAGTGTATGCTATTTGAAAATGTTTTGAAATCTACAAGCATTATTATCACATCATAGAATCATAGAGTTGGAAGGGGCCATACAGGCCATCTAGTCCAACCCCCTGTTCAATGCAGGATTAGCCTACAGTATCCCTGACAAATGTTTGTCCAGGCGCTGCT